TGAGTTGTACTTTACTTTAAAAAAAAATCTTTAGTCAATGTGTTTCATGTTTCTAAGATCAGAAAAAACCTTGTACCTGCTAGTCTTTTGAGCAAGAAAGGGTTCAAGATTGTTTTAGTATCTGATAAGGTTATTGTAACTAAAACTGAGATGTTTATGAGAAATGATTATTTTATAACATGTTTAAGTTTAGTATTAATGAAATCAATATTATTTCTGCTAATACAGTTAAATCTTTTTCTCTTCTTTGACATGCTAGATTGGAACATCTAAATTATAGATATTTAAAATATATGCGTAAGCATGATTATATTTCATATGAGCATGATAATAATGATAAATATGAAGTATGTATCTAAGAAAAGATGAAAAGAAAGCCTTTTTTCTAAAGTAATATTTCATATGAGCATGATAATAATGATAAATATGAAGTATGTATTTAAGAAAAGATGAAAAGAAAGCCTTTTTTTCTAAAGTAGAAAGAAATTCTGAATTACTTGAGTTGGTCCATTGTAATATTTATGAAATAAAAGGTATGTTAACAAAGGGTGGGAAAATATATATTATAACTTTTATTAATGATTATTTTCATTTTACCTATGTTTACTTGTTAAGAACTATAAATGAAGCCTTTGAAAAATTCAAGAAATTTAATAAAATGGTAGAAAATAAAAAAGAAAGCCAAGTTAAATTCTTAGAAGTGATGGAGATGATGATTACTTTTTTTAAGGATTTTTCTACATTTTATAAGGAAAATAGAATAATTCATCAAATGACAACACTATATACACCATAACATAATGGACTTACTGAAAAGAATGATATAACCTTAATAAGTATAGTCAACGCCATGTTTTTTAATGCTAATTTACTAGTAATTTATGGGGTGAAGCTTTAGTTACTTTTCATATTCATAACAGAGTGTCATCTAAAAAATTAAATGTTTATCCTTATGAAACATGAAATGGTAGAAAACCAAATCTGAATTATTTTCTAGTGTGGGGATGTCTAGTTTTATAAAATTTCTAATCCTCAAAGTACAAGATTAAAACCTAGAGGTCTTGAAAGTGTTTTTGTTAGTTATTCACAAAATTCAAAGGCTTAGGATTTAGATTTAAAAACTAATATAATTGTTGAATATGTACATGTTGAATTTATTTAAATAAATTCAACATGTGTAGATTTAAAATAAATTCATATGTGTAAGAACCAAATCTAAAAGTAATGATTTCTATCTTAATGTTAAGAGAAAAACATAAAAACCTAAAAGTAATAAGTTCAAGTAAACATTGAAGAAGTCAAAGAGTTAGAAAGGAAAAACACATAAATATATATTTAATTTTTTTCTGATTCAATTGTATTTTTAATGGAAAATGATAAAAATATACTATTGAAAAGGACACCTATGATCTAAAATATGAAAAATGATATAAAGACATTCTGTGAAGCTATGTCTTTTGTGGATGTTGTCTTTTAAAAAGAAGTAGTAAATAATGAAATGAAAATAGGATAATACTTGGGTCCTAGTAGATTTAGCTCTAGGTTCTAAACTAATAGGATATATGAGGGTGTTTAGAAGAAAATACAATATTAATGGTTCTATACAAACCTTTAATGCAAGATTAGTTGCCATAGGTTTTACTCAAAAAAAAGTATTGATTATTTTGATATTTATTCTCTTATGACAAAAATTAAATGAATTAGAGATTTAGTTTCTTTTACATCAATTTATAACTTGTATCTTCATCAATTAGATGTAAAAATGACTTTCTTAAATAGATATTTAAAAGACAAAATATATATAAAGCAGCCTAGGCTTTTATACTTCTTGGAAATGAAGAAAAAGTCTATAAATTAGTAAAGTATTTATATGGTGTAAGGCAAGCTCCAAAAACAGGGCATAAAAAGTTTAATAAAGCAATTTTGTTGAATAATTTTCATTACAAGGTGCTAATAAATGTATTCCAAATTTACAAAAGATTTTAGTGTGAATATTTGTCTTTATATAAATGACATATTAATATTTAGAACAAATATGATTAGAATAGTTGAAATCAAAAGATAACTAACTTTTATTTCTAAAATAAAATATCTTAGTGAAGTAGATATAATTTTAGATATGAAAGTTAAGAATCATAGTAGTTACTATGCATTTAATTAGTCATATTATATTGAAAAAATGATTGATAAGTTTAAATATCTCAATGTAAAGGATGCTAATACCCTATTTGATTCTAATATGAAATTAAATGATTAATGTGATAAAATGATAGCATAATTAAAATATGTTAATATTATTGGAAGTCTTTTGTATGTCATGCATTGTATAAGACTAGATATAGCTTTTAATATGTGCAAATTATCATGAAATACAAACAAGTTATTGAAAGACTATTACAAGAATCTTTGATTATTTAAAAAATAATTAATTTGAATTTATTTTATTTTGATTTTTCAGTTATGATGGAAAAATATTATTACATAAATTGAATAATTAATTTAAGTGATAATAAATCTATATGAGGCTGAATTTCTCACTTAAAGTGATATCTTTATCTGAGGCGGAATTTCTCACTTAAAGTGATATCTTTATCTAAAGCAAAACATTTAATTCAACTTTTATTTTTTTGTTTTTAATTGGGTCATGTAATTCTAGAACCCACGAAACAAACAAAGTGACTTGGCCCAAAAATAGACGAAACATGCTTTCAAGCGTAATTTTGATATCCTTGATAATTTTAGGTTACAGGCCAAAATTCAAATAAAATGTGATGAGTTAATTTCTTCATTCATTTCAACTTCACATTCAAGACTTGATTTAAGATAAATATATGAAATAGGTTTAGAAAATAATTAAGCAAGTAATAAGAAATGAACCCAGGAATTAGAAATATACAAAGTAAACCTTTTTTTTTAGGATGTTTTTTTAATTTTTATTGTTCTTTAAGCATAACTAATAACTTTTTATATTTGCCTCTAAAACTAATGTATCTTTTTTAAAAAAAATTTAGTTTGAAAATTTTATATTTAAGGTAGTTATTTGTATATATTTGGTAATGCACATCAAAATATTTCAATTTAAAATATATCAAAATAAATTTTTTATATTTTTGATATTAGTAAATTATAATAATAAGAAAACAACAATAAAAATATCAATATAATATTTTTTTAAATAAAAAATAATTTTAAAAATATATTTAAACACAAAAATAAACATTCAATCATTCTATCTCTTTCATCACTCAAGATACACTTGAACCTTTGAATAGTATAGGAGCTTCGGGAAAGATGACACACGACTTGTTTATATGCAACCAACTTTTAAGTAATTACTCACTGAAGGGCACACCCATCATGCCCACAGAGTTGTCAGATCATGTATGAAGGCTGATGCCTAAACAGTCTCCCCACCATTGGTCGGCAACACAAGTGAACAAAAATTTTGATGTGCCTTCCCTTCCCTTTTCATCTACTTTACTTTTCTGTGCTTTTTTCGTGGTTGAAGATAGCACTTTCCAGATCTTCTGCGGAGATTTGTAAGGCTTGATTGTTTGTTTATGGCCATGCCAGGCCACCCTGTCGAGTCCTTGGAAAAAAACGCATCCAATTATTGAGGATCGGCCTAAATTTGTTGATGTTTTGTCCCAAATGTACGAGTTTTACGTGTAAATTTAGTCTCTGTTCTGTTTGATAAATTTAACTTTACATGTTTTCCATGACTATCATATTCTCAGAAAAGGAAAACTTTGTATTCGAAGGGTGTTTTTTTTTCCCCGTAAATCTAAGTTTAAAACGTATTGCTTTATTATCAATTCAGTCCTAAACATTTATATTTTCCTAAAATCACATTAGATGACGTTACCCCTCTATTTATATTATATTATGCACACGAACTTTAAGATCTTCTGTGCCAAAATAAGCCTCAATGAGCTACAAATGATAATTCAACTTTTTTTTAAAAATTATCTTATTTATATTTTCCCTTTCGATTTTTCTTTTAATTCAAGTCAAAGTTGATGGTGCCAGGAAGGAGGCTCAAACAAAGAGGCAAGATAGAAAGCCAGGCTAAAAATGAATGGCTAAGCCCATCCAGGAGGAGTCCAGCTCGGAATTAGACATGGCGTGTCGGCCTCATCGAAGAATGTGGTCTTGTCACAATTCTTCAAGACGAGGGATGGCGATTTCTCAGAAAAAAGACTGAAGAGTTGGGAGCCAAAGCATGGATAATTTGCATTAAGTCTAAACTTACGAAAAAGAGTGGCAACAACAAGTCAATTTGGGCACTCTCTTTCTAAAGGTAGAGTCTGATTATATCTTTAGTCATGTTCTACCTATAAGTTAAACAACTTTTGATTTAATTTTTAAAATTAGAGGTGTTTGATGTAATGAGCTGTTTTTAGAGGTGTTTGATGCAATGAGCTGTTTTTTTTTTTAGAGGTGTTTGATGTAATGAGCTGTTTTTTTTTTTTTTTTAAAAAAAAATCAGTTTGGTTTTATTTGTTTTCTATTTATCAAACCATATTGGTCCGTGAATTTTTTAATTATACTGTTTTTTTAGAGATTTTGATGCAATGGGTCAATTTTTTATTTTTTATTTTTATTTTAAAAAATCAAGTTGTGTTGTTTGATTCTTTAAAATCTAAAATCAAAGTGATTTTTTTTTAATTTTCTAATATTTTTTTGTTTGATCTCTATTTGGATTTTTTAATTAATTTTATCTATTTTTTTTTGTTAATTTTGATTACTCGGTTATTCTTCTCACCCCATTCAAAGCTCCATTATTGAAAACCAAATTATTAAGCTCTATACTTTAGTATTATAATTTATTTTTAAATATCTATACAAAATGAAGTCTTTCCCTTTTCGTTGTTGCCAAAGGTGTTAAAAAAATTGTTTGAAAACCATAATTAATTGGCATATTTAAGAACAAATGGTTCATCTATGTTTTTTAACAAATTTGCTTACATTTTGTTTACGTAATTTTGCTCAAACATGTTAGATAAGATGGTATTTTGTGTATAGAATCTAAATGTTTATTTCCTTATTATTATTAAACTAAACAAATATCTAATATGAATCGGCACCAGATTCTATCTTCTCCTCGCTGGAATTTAAACAACGGGAAGGTAGAAGCACTAATAAGGCTTGAACACCGTAGTCCAGCCACCAAGAAAGCAGTCTGTAGAAAATCCGATAGGATATGCTATATTTTATTCCTAAGAAGAAGCTGCCGAAGGCTGATTATGATTATCATCGCTCTTTTGGTCTTCCATTTGCAACAACTCGGCGAAAACTCCAACTAGTGGTGCTGTATTATACGTGCAGGCCTCAGTCTGCATGTAATTTCCTCTCTGATCCATGAAATTATCTTGGCAATCAGGTCCTCCAACCACTGCCCCGACTACAACATTAGGGTTGGGCTCCTCCCGACCATACCAAAGGTCGAACCCTTGGGTGCACCCAATGAACCCCATGCTCTCTCTGTATGGCACCATTGAGGCCCCTCTATGGTGCACTCTTGTGGGGAATTTAGGGCCATAACCCACTAAATAACTCATGTTCATTGGGTTAGAACCTAGAATGTAATCAACTTGAGATTTAGCAAAATGGAGTATGTCTTGGTAATCCACAGACCCTCCATGGCACTTGAGCTTTTGAGCCGAGTTTCGAAGGATATCGGAGTATATAGTGAGAAGGAAGGCTGCCGTTGATACATATTGCATGTTGTTCCATTGCCGGATGTGCAATAGACCACCCGGAGTACGCTTCACGTTGGCACCGTTATTCTTGTCAAGGCATGAGCATATGTAGTACTCAGCTTTCGATCGGTACTGTTCCAATGTGTACCTGTGCCCCTTGTGTTTTTCTTTCGCGAGCAACTGCAATCTCAATATATATATATATAATTCATTATTATATATTTTTAAATAACAAATTAAAAAATATACTCAAACTAGTTCTTCTGCACAGACTCTTTAAAGTTGAAACCTCGTGATTGACTATCATTCTCTTTGTACAAAAATAACATTATTATATAATATCACGATACTACTATGCAAATTCAATTCAACTTCTAATTAAAAAAAAAAATATTAATCACAATTTAACTAACCTTTATAATACCATAGTAGGACTTCATTTTGATTATCAAAAATAAAATAAAAAATTTAAACAAGCCAACAAAAATAGTAAAATTAAAATCTAAAATAATATAATTACATCAAATTTACAAGATTTTATGTTTCAATAAGGGATTTTACTTAACAGTGTCTTAAAAATTAGTTTTGACTTCTTTGGACAAAAAGATTCACAAAACATAGACTATTCCTTCTGATAAACTTTGCTAAAAGATAAAATCACTTAACACAAAGGTTTCATAGGAAAAATCCGAAGAATGGATTTTTATGTGATATAAAAGAAAATTATGGAAATAATCATAGATATAATTTCTTTTTTTACTGATATCCCTTATTTCTAATTAGAAAACCTCTATGAACAAGATAAAATAACAAATTCTTTTTTCTCTAGAATTCAATTATTTTTTATGTAATTTCTATTCATGTATTATATAATTAAAAAAAATTCTCTTCAAAATAAAGATGTATTGAGAAAATAATGAGAATGCTATTATTGACTAGGAGTTATAGTTATATGAAAGAGAATGCAATTTTAGTTGATTAAAAAATACTACTTGAATACTAATAATAATAATAATAATTGCGATAGAAAAACATTATAATTTTATAATATGATAGTGTAAATATTAGTTTAATGGACCAAAAAAATGATCCATTTAGACCCTCGACACCCTAAACAAACTAAAAATCATGCCAAAACATGTTAAAACCAGTCCATTTTAATGAAACAAATCCAAAAATTAATCAAATTGCAAGTAGTTTATAGCTATTGGCACACAAAACGAAGATGATGCTACATAATTTTCAAGAGGTCATATGGTATTGCATATTGCTTGTTTCAAAAGTAATTGCAACTGGTAAAACTTTCAGATATACGAGTTTCATGATGGGTCCACGTCTCGGTGAAAGAATATTAGCCTAACCAACCATATGATGTGATCATTTTTATTGAAGTCAAAATTTCCCCAATTCAATGGCCCACTTAACTAGACATCTTCACAAGTAAGGTTTGTGGATAATCTATTTTAGAGGTTGATTAGTCAATACAATCACGTTGTATGATTGGAAGTATGGATTTAGTTTTCTCATATGACTAATCAACACGAGAGCTACCTTCTCAATCTTCAAATATATAATTTTAACACCTAAGAGAACCTTGCTAGTATAATATACTATTTTCTAAATCCTTTTTTCTTCTCACGTGAGCACAACACTAATTGTAAGATTTGCAACCCCTAAGTGAAGGAAAAGCTCTTCATCTTTTCTTGATTGAGATAGGATCGTTAGAGATTATAAGTAAGACTTAAGTTCTTCAAAGGCTTGTTGATATTTTTGAGTCCATTTAGAATTAAAGATATTTTTTAGAGTTTCGAAGAAAGAAAAGTAATGTTCTCCTAAAAAAGAATATACATGTTAAAAACTATAATTTTTCCTATTAGCCTTCGAACAACGCTCACACATTGAGGAGGGGTCATGTTTAGGATGACTTTGATTTTCTTAAGATTAGGCTCTATTCTTCTTTCACTAACCAGGAAATCCAAAACATTTTCTCAATTCATAGTAAAGCCATACTGGGAGGGGTTTAACTTTATTTGGTGATGGGGTATAATGGAGAATAACTCTTGTAAGTTTTTTAGATGTTGCTCAAATCATGTGATTGACTAACATATCATCTATATAAACCTTCATGTTTGTACCCAGCTAACCTTTGAAAACTTTATTCACCATTAACTAATAAAATGACTCTAGTATTTTTAAACCAAAAGGCATGACATGGTAATAAAATTTCCTCTATTAGCTATATAGTGATCTCTTGAATTAACATCTAAAATATGCCTTATTAAGGTTAGCGAACTCCACACACATATGACACTTACCATTTTGTTGTTTCACCATAACTATTTTCCAACCATTATGGGTACATTACCTCATGAATGAACTTACCATCCAATAGCTTGTCTATGTCTAATGAGATGACTTTTTATTGTTCTTCATTAAAAAAAAAAAAATTTTATTGATCGAGGAGAAGGATGGGCATACATGTAAATGGTAAGAAGACATATTTGGATTGATGCTTGGCATGTTTGATGGATTAAAGATAAAAATATGTCTTTGGATATTAAAGAACTCTATAAAGAGTTTCTCTTGCCTAGGTTCCAAAGCAAACCCAATCTTAGTAGTTGCATTTTTTTTAGAATGAAGACTAACTTTTTTAAAATCTTCCATAGTTTTTGTTTGCAATTCAAAGTTTTTCTTTAAAAAATGCTTATTGATCTATCAACAAAATATTATTACCCTTTAGATAGGTGCAGGTGCATTTTTTGAAAATCGATTCATTCCCTTTAATAATCATGACTTCTTTTTTTCTATTGGAAACTTCATTTTCAGATATTTGGTATTGATCATAACATTTATCTTATAATGAAGAGATCATTTAAGTAGTGTTATAAGACAAATTTGTTTTAATCACAATAAAAGTTTATTGTAAAGTGCAATATTTGGGATAAATCACCTTTTATTAGTACACCTTTTTTTTTATTTCCTAATTAAAAGGGTTTTCATTAGCGTTAACTTAGATGGATCAACACCTATTTATATCATCATATATTTGAAGAAAATGTTGACTTGCTCCAATCATCATTTAGTACATTGTGCATTTTATTATTAGAGAGGACCGTGGTAATTAACAACATATCCTCATGGGGAAAAAAAGTCACCCCCTTTATATCTACTTAAATAAAAATGATTGCTCATACCAAGGGTTTTAGAGTCATAAAGAGAATAATATTTTTTTTCCATAAGCTCTTGTTATTTGTGAAATGAATAGCACTGATATTATGCAACTCTTTATAGGGAGGGCTAAATTATTCTTTTTTACTTCTTATGCTCAACTCCCTTTTAAAAAAATTATTATAGGTATTATTTGATCATAAATCTCTCTATCTTTTATATATATATATATATATATATATATATATATCATAGCAATCTTCTACATCATTTTCCATGTTTTTTTTTAAGATAATGGTTATCAATGTCTCCTTTCATTGGTTGTGGATACTAGATAAAGTATTTTTCATTTATAGTTATAAGCACTTCAGTTCTAGTGATGTTTAAAGGAGTGATTATCAATTCAAACTGTACTAGTTTGCCTCACACTAGACCTCTAAAGTCAATTTTACATCTTTGAGAGCTACAACATTTGTAATTTGGATACTCATATCTACATCTATGAAAACGAGGATGTTCTTATCTAGCTACACTTGTTTCTTCTATACAAATATGATTCTTTATTGGTTGCTTTACTTCAATAAGAGTTATGATTAGGAGGGCATATAATGACAGTGGTGATTCTTATGAGTGTGATCACTATTTGTTGTTGCTTTGCCTTTTTATTTATGAAGATTATATTTCAAAGACCTAGTTTGATAGCGCTTCTTATGTTGGTGGCTTTATGGCATAATAGAGGTATGGTGGTATTTTTGTCTACTCTTTTATATTTTATTTTATCCAGTATTTTCTAAAAATGTGAGGTTGTTTGTGAACTAGTGGAGCAGTTTATAAGGTGATTAATTATGTGTTATATGGTGGTCGAGGAATTGCTCTGTGTTGCTTATGAGTTGTAAGAACAACTTTCGTCGGTACTCTCATTTGCTATGCAGGTTGATAAGATCTATGAAAGTTGATGTTGCATTGGTAGGAAGATAAATTACTTTTCCTCTTGGGATTTTCATGTTGTTAGACATGAAGAACTTCTTAGAAAAATATCAATAAGAAAAAAAAAAGCATAGTAGTTTTTGTTCAATTCTTCTTATAGATAGCGTTGGTGTATGTGTGAGGCGTCGCTGGCGAATATTCCACTTCATCAAATGTATCTTTATGGAAAATATAGGGACGTAATGAATTCTTATTTTTTAACAGTGGAACGAGGGAATGAGAATCATACCTAGTATTTTACTCATTAGGAATCCTAACTAGTTTTAGAAATCAGGTACGTGGACTAGTTGCGTAAAAGGAATATATTAGCACCCCTAACACGCCTTACCTAAGATAAGTTTCATTATTTGATTGTCTAATTAAAAAAATAAATGTTATTGTATTTCTTATTGTTAGTTCGTTTATGGTTTAAGAAAAGTCCTCCCTAATAAGGAGGTCCTTATCTTATCGAGTCAAAAAACCTAAATGTTCTAACATCAATAAAAAGAAACTTTTTTTTTTAATATCAGGAATATATTTTATGTATGAATTCATAATCCAAATACTAAAAGAAAAAAAAATATTTTTTTATTTTTTGAAATATTGGCTTAGTTCTCATGGCTTTAATAAATTGGTTATTAAAGTCAAAATGCATGCTAAAATATTTTTTTTTATTGTATGAAAATACAATGTGATGATTTTTCCTTATTTTTTAGAGACTAGGCTGATGCATGAAAACAAAATATATTTTTTTGTTTTGAATTTTTTTACAATGTTTCGACGAAAGCCGAGTATTTTAATACAGGATTTATATCTTTATGGTATAAAAATAAAAACTAATATTATGCAAAATAGATAAAAAAAAATATACAAGAAAATCATAAAAAAATTTAGAAAGATTTTTGGAATTTTTAATTTTTTAAAAAATAAAATTTGGGGTCGGGTCGAACCTAACCCAAAAATTTAGGCTAGGCCAGAAACAACCCAACCCAAAGTTCACTACATGAATAGTGAACGTGAATTATAATTCACGTCTACTGTTCACTTAGTGCAGAAAGACAGCGAAGACAAGGAGGAGGAGGAAAACAGAGAAGGGGAAGGGGAAGGAGAGAGAGGACACATCTAGTGTGGCAGTGGTCTGGATGAGAGGAATGACAGCGTGGTGGCAATGGTGGCAACTGATGGTGACTGTGGCTGGAAGAAAATGAGAGAAGAAAATCTATATGGGGTGAGGATTGGCGATCGCGGTGGTCGTTCTGCCACTAGTGAGGATTTGGGTTCATATAGAGGCTGCGCTGCCATCTGT